CCCCAAAACCCCAAAACCCCAAAACCCCAAAACCCCAAAACCCCAAAACCCCACATATCTCAGATATTATTGAGGTAGTGCTAATTATTGTTATAAACCTTCCTAGGTATCTTCACCATCTTCTTCATGTCCTTTAGCTTAATAAATGGGGGTATTCTGGCCTTAATCTTCTGATCTTTACTCCTCATGCTAAATATGACTCTTGTTACGCTTTCTAAAAAGATCTTTTGGCAGAGCAACCTGGTGTCCTAAGGAGCTACCTCTCGGATTCGGCTTATTCAAGATGTTTCTCAGTACTTGTTTTCTTCTGACTCGCTCTTCTGTATCATTAGCCATTCTCTTGTAGAAGTTTTCTCGTTTGGAATTAATGCCCCATTTCTTCTGATGGGCATAATATTTCTCCTTAATGAACGAATCTCCGAAGGGGATTAGTAATTTATTTCAGTAGTCAGTGTAAATCTTAAAATTCTTGGCATCTTTATTTTTACCTAGATCAGATTAAACAACTTATTACTAATCAACTCAATAGAGTTGTTGATTTTAGAGTCCTTGATCTTGTTCATGGCCAAGAACCTCTTTACCAACTTCTTTGCCTGGGTCTCCTTCGAGAATGTCTTGGCTATTCCATACTGATCTTCTTCGATCAAGTCGAGGTTTGCATCAAACGGTTTCACGTCCCTCATGCTAAGGTTATCTGGAGAATCTTACCTGATATCAAATGTTAGAGGCTGGTCATTTTGAGGTAATTCATGACTTTTATTCACATCCTTTGGGGAAGAAGAACCCTTCTGATATACTTTCCTCAGCTGACAGGCTATTTGGTCAAACTTTGACCTCTGCCTATATCTTAACAGGGATCAGTTACAGGCTTCTACCGGTCTCTTTAGCCTTCTCCAGGGAGGGATCTCTTGATTGTTGCCGATATTCGTTCTGATGCAAGTCCTCCATACTATTCTTCCTTGATGAAGGAAGAGACCTCTGCATCGGCTAGGCATTAAGCTTAAGACTTACCTTGGGCGGGTTGAGCATTTGAATGCTTAATTTATTTGGTTTTGATTATTTTTGCTGCAGACTCTCTTTTTTGTGAAGTATTTATGATTGGCAAGGTATCATAGCTTTGCTGCGGAACTTGTTCATCTTCCTTATCTTTGTATTCAGTCTCAGTATCGTTATTTAGACTTAAATGGGTTATAGAGGGGGTTCTCCAACAGGCTAAAATCTAATCCGAAAGTATTCTGGAAGTTCTTATTTATTCGAAGATTGAGCATCGATCGAGTTAATTATTTTCCTTTGAATCCTTCTACGTTTCGAAGGCGATCCACAATCATGATATTCTTGCATATCTTGACTGCTGCGTCTGTGATTGAGAGGATCAAAATCTAAAGTAAAAGAAAAGAGTATACCTTTATTTTAACGCTCAAACACTTTTTGACCTCAGATTGAATTTTTCTTGATCGTTGAATAATTGTTTAACTTCAATTGGTTTCTCTTTTGCTCTAAAACAAAATACTAGTATATTCAAACAAATAATTTTTATCCAAATTTAACTTAAAAATAAAATTTTTTACATTTACAAAAACCAGAGAGTATAAAATCCAGCGAAATTCCCAAATAAAACCTCCAAATTCCAAAATACCTACTTTTTCTCCTCTTTATTTCCTCCCACTCTGGAGTTTCTGAAGCACATCATCAAATGTAACTTTCTCCTTCCTCATCAAAAATTTTCTTTCTTCCCTCAGACTAAGCTCATTTCAGATCTCTGGGAAATTGATCTTTGCGTACCTATTAAAACCTAATTATTCCAATAAACTCAGAAATTTGACCCTCTTCTTAAACCGTTCTATTCCTTTATCCATTAATTGGGCAACCTGGGGCATGTAAGATAATCCCAGCTCTGGGCTATGAGGAAAGATGGCAGACCTGGTACTTTAGGGTACCAGGGAGATAGATCATAAGTAGCTTTTCGAATCGATAGTCTAGGATACTCCAAAGAAAAGTTTAGGTAATGTGATATATGGGATAATAGCTCAGGTGAGGTTTTAGGGTGACTAGAGTTTAGCCAATTTGTCGATAGATTTCCAAGTATGAGAGGGACATCAATAATAACAATGATTATGCCTTTTTGGCTAAAATCTAGGCTAGAGCCGGGCTTTCAAATTTCTTTGATCAAAATATTTTATTATGTATCTAACTTTATTAGAAAACAAAGTTCTCTCAAACTTCAAAAATCCCAAATCTCAAATACCCAATAAAACTTCAAAATTTTTCGAAGATTCAGTAGAATCTCAATTTTCTCAAAACCCTTAGGTTTCCTCAAAATTTGGAAGTTCACACGAAGAAAGTACAATTAAATTTCATTAAAATATCAGCTGAGAATTTAGTTGAGCTTACTTAAGCATGACCTTCTCCATTCTTATAAGTTCAATTTATATAATACTTTAAGGGGTTTTGGGGTTTTGGGGTTTTGGGG